CTAACAAATCATGCTCATGTGCCAGCTTACTATAATAGACTTCTCATTAAATCAATTAAACGTAAATGTGGAAATTATGATGCAGACACTAAACATGTTTTATTATGTGACATGTATAACAATAATTGGATTAAGTTCTTACCAAAATTGCATTTTTCATCCAAGTCAGAATTTATAAAGATGAAAATTCCAAAAAGGGAATTATAGAAATTATGAATATTATAATTGATACAGAAGAAAAGATGTTTATATAGTCTCTGTTAAAATCAATAAGAAATGTTATATATAATATGTATTCAAATAATATGTATTGTTATTATAATCTTCTATTGTATGTTATATTGTAAATCAATGTCAAGATCTTAAGAAAAGAAGTTATGATCAAAATTATTTGTTGATTTATATTAATTGTTTGTAATAATATGTTATTTCGGTGAATTTTGTTTTGCTGTAACACAAAAGATATGGATTATTATTAAAAACGTTTGTATTTTATTGTAATCAAGATGATTATTGTAAAGTAATTTTTTTTTCTTTTAAATCATTGATTAAAATCAGATATTCCCCTATTTTCTTAAATGATAGGATATGTGTTAAAATTTAAGCTTAAGGCTTTCAAAGTGATCTCAATTACTCAATTAAAAAAATAAAAGTCCTTTAAAGAAGTAAATTGTCTAAAATATTTTAAACAAGCTATGCTAGTACAATGCAAGAAAAAGCTAAAGCACATGCCAAAATGCAAGAAATAGGGGGTAAAATATGCAAAACCAAAAAAGAAATTTATATCTTTCGCTGCATTACCATCAGAAGGCTGGTGCAAAGAAAGAAGTACAAAAATAAAACAGCCTGTTTCTGAACTGACAAAGAAACAAATTAAAGTTTAAAATAATCTTATAAAAACAATAAAAGTCACCTATGTCTTTATCAATCCAACCCCTACAGGCCAAAGCAGGCAAGGCAAAAAAATTCAAAATTATAGCATCAGAATTATATACAAACTCAAAAAATTGTAAAATAATCGACAAATTTTAAAAGATTACTTTCCAGTTGATTGAGTCCAACACTAAAACTTACAAAAACTATAATTTAATATTTGAGCACAAAACTCTATGTAAATCTTGAAAACATACAGGCCAGGAAAAAGAAAAAAAAAAATACAAGCATAAATCATATAAACAAGCAATAAAGCTTAAAAATCTAATAATAATTTACAATTTAGGTGGATTGAATCCAAAAACATGTAAAACAGAAGTAATCCAACATACAACAAAATAAATAAAAATGGACTTCGATAGTTAGAATTAACATAAAATACTTTTTCAAAGTTGTTCCTTTAATTTTCCCAACACTGTACATTTATATACCGTAATTTCCGGAAGAAACGCCGCGGCGTTTACGTGTTTAAAACTTAAATTTTCAGCGGGTGCGGCGTTTCTACCCATGCGGCATTCAGGTGCACTAAAAATAAAATATTTCCTACGATGGTCATTGTACATAGTTTGGATTGTGCATAGACTATCATTGTGCATAGACTGGTGCTATTCCCACACAAAAGACCACTCAGTTGCTTTTTGCGAACGTTATTTTGTTTACATTCTTTCCCTTGAACGGACCTACATGCCTTATTCACCCTAAACGAGATCTCAGAACAATAACATTCTTCAATTCAGTTTGAATCATGGAGGTAGGAAGTAAGATGGAGTCGCCCTAAATAAACATGTGACTGATTAGGTAAACAACACAATAGGTGCAAGAATGTCCATTCTGCCCACCCAGGTAGCCTCACGTGTCCGCTGTAGCCACTGTCTGCTCTGACCACTTAACCATCTGTAAGGGATTAGGCACCTGAAGAAAACAGGTATAAGAATTTAACCGAAAGAAAAAATCTGCTAATTTGATCAAAGAAAAAGGAACAAATTATAAGTTTGAGAAATAAGAAGAAAGTATAGAGTATACATTACAGAAAATACATTTGGATATTATTAAAAGAAATTTTCAATTAAACGATGTTCGAACCAAATTAAAGTTTAAAAAATATAATTTTCAAGTATACTATAAACTTACACGCAATTACCTCATACAAGAGTAAAATTAGGTAATAAAGAGCTGATACCCATGCTGCGACGCAATAAAAATCCGCCCGTCAGATGTCTTCATATCGTGCCTTCGACCCCCATGCTGTTTGAAACGAGCGAGTTATGCAATCCAATCCCAGCTGATCTAAACATGGAGGTAGGAAGTAAGATGGAGTCGCCCTAAACAAGTTTCTCCCGTACCCTGCTCTGAAGCACCGGCGATCCCTACGTGGTGACCAAAACATTGGGTCATTTACCATTGAGTTCTATGGGATTTGACGCGTTCGGATGTATATATTTTGTAATTACGTCGTAAATATACATATAAATGTATATATTTTCTTTTTCTACAACACTTTAGAGTCCTAAGTATGTGAAAACAACATATTTTTAAACAACATTTCATTCTGAACGGAATTAAATGCTATATTTTTCACAGGACAGTTTTCTCAGAATGGTTTAATTTGAATGAAATATTTTCACAAGTTTTCATTAATTATATTAGAAAAAAAATTAAGGTAATTCGATTTTATTTGGTTAAGGTACAAAAATTAAGATCAAAGATTATTGTATTATTAATATTAAAATCATGCATTATTTCTTTTCTATTTATAGAGCTTTTTCCTAAAATACTTTCTTAAATATGACATGATTTTTTGGCTTCTGAGGCATCTTTTAAATCGAAAAATGTAAGTCAATTTATAATTAATGCTCTATTCGGTTCATTTTAAATTAGAGAATTATTAATAATTAGCGAAATACTTTAAATAAGTATTTCGCTAATTCCTAATAATTAAATAGGTATTAAATAGTACTTGACTTTCTCTGAACATTTCTGAAAGGGAATAAAATAATTTTTTTTTTTTTTAAAGTATTAAAAACTTGTAACTGAGTTATTATAAAATGTAAGGGGAATAATTCTTTTAATTATACTTATCAGATTTTTTTTTTTACCCTTCATTTCAACAATACATATTCCAAAACTCTTTATTACGTTCTTTAAGTGCTCATCTCATAGCATTTGCTTTACAATACCTTTTAACACATTGCTTTCCAATACGAACAATTCTTGCTTAAATACTTTTATAACGTATTTGTCAACAGGATTTCAATTTATGTTTACAATTCAATATTAAGGTTATTATATATTTAGATAACATTTATAATCATTATAAATTAGATACATTTAATAATTAGATTTCTTCACAGCACTTTCACAGTTGTTTATAAGTGAATAAATTCTTCATTTCAAATACATTTATAAATAATTTAATGAATATTTAAGTATTTTGTCAAAGGCAGATACATGCTTTTTGCAAGCACATGCATAAATACCCATACATATTTCCTATTTTTTATTTCCGGCATGTGCAAATCTTCAATTTCTGTGCATTCACTATATTTTTCGTGTAAAGTAATTTACAACTAATTTAGCATACACCCGAAAGTTTTACAGATAAAAATATATATGAATATAATTTGAATGAAAATTATAAGTATTATTTTTAATACCCACTCAAAGGTCAGTTTTTCTTCAAAATTCCTGCACGATGACATCTCTCTCTTTAGGCAGATAGCCCTTGCATGCGTTACTCTGTTTAATAAAAACTTAATCTGACCTATGTGGCTTATTACAAAAATTTTAACATACATAATTTTATATTTATAAAACGTGTAAGCCCAAAGTGATTATTTTTCAGATATATAAAATTAAAACGATGGGTTTAAAATGAGCAGCAGTAAAACCTCTCCTCAAAAAATTTTAAAAGATACATGTTACAATAATATATGGATGTGAAAAAAAAATTTGTTTTATTTAAAACATTTTGACGTTTGGAAAATAAAATAAAAGTAGTGAATACTCTATCAAGGGTATCGAAAGACATATACAATTTTAAATGTGCCGTGAGGTATTTTTCATTCTTTAAGCATAACATTTTTCTTAAAATCTATATTTTTGTAGTGCAACAGCTTAGAATTTTATAAAACAAATTCATAATCAAAATCGCTGTTGTTAGTTATCGAAAAATAACCAAGATGTGATTTTTGCGTAAATGTCACTAAACTATACAAATTGCTATTATCCATCACACTATGAAAGTTTCTTTCATGCGAAAGTGTCCCTTTTTCGATTTCTATGGAACTGTCGTGTGTCGAAATACTATCAGAATCTTGTCAAGCGAGCTTCTGAATGTAAACAAAGAACACTCCATCTGGTGACCCAAGCTTCAAAGCAGTGCTTCACTTTTAGGGTGGGTTGGCCCCTCCTCCCTTTCCTACCTCCATGGTTTGAATAGTCTCTCTTCTCTGCTATTCGATGAATCTTCCAGGACCCATCCTCTCCCCACCCCTGCCTTTTCTGCAATTTTTTTCAAAGGCAGACACGACTCCACCTGCCTCGCAATAACGAACTCTGACGTATTTCCCCTTCAGCATGAATGGATTTTTCTTGGCATTCTGCCAAATACAAGTCCGATCAGTTTGGGTATAAGTACTTGTTGAATAGTTTTTAAGTAAGAAGGGAGCGGAAAAATTTTTGAAAATGTCTCTAAATGGCACAGAAGCTATACATTTCTTACCTTTAATTTATTTTTGAGTTATGGTTTCATTTCATGCATTTTTCTTAACTGGTATGTCATATATCAGGACTTAGGTTGAGTTTTTGCATCTATACGGCCCATGACGATGTCACGCGCAATTTAATCTATTGCGGCATTTATGCTGATGCGGCGTTTCTGTGTAATTTTAATTTTTTTCCCGCCATTTTTCTCGAGTGCGGCGTTTACGTTGATGCGGCCTTTCTTCCGGAAATTACGGTATCTATAAAACATACTTTTTCAAACAAACATATATGTAAAACATCTATGTTACACAGTTCATATACTAGTTTACTCATATACTAGTATTTTTATATGTGTACTTTACCTCTGCTATATGCAAATTCTCTAATCGTTTTGACATATCTTTATGTTGCACCTGCAAGTTTAGGCTGCCCAACAAAGCAGGAAGTAGCAAATACCTACAAAATACAAACAAACAGATGAACATTTCAAAAATAAATAAAACTTACAGATATACAAGTAATAAGAATTTAAATGAATAAATACTTGAGACTTGAAGTTTGGACTTCTCCAATAGCTTCATTAGAGCTGAATAAGTTCAGCTCATTGACCATATGTGTGCATAATTCTAAATGTTTTATACATTGACTTATAGCTCCCTAGAAGAAAAAAATTATATAATAGCAAATAGATAATTAATACCTTCAAGCTGTTTTATTCAAACATCATTTCAGCATCAAATTGTAAAATTGCAAACCAAAATTATCTATTATTAGAAATCAAATACACAGTAAAACTGAAAATGTCAAGTTATATCAAATTTTCGGTACTTTTCCATTTTGCTGGCGCAAATGATAAAGTCGCCAATAATGGTACAACTGATGCTAAACGGAATATCTTCGATAGTAACCTTTTCCGCCTCATTTTCAAAACGTGTTGCAACCATTTCTTATCAGATTGATTGTCTTTCAATACTGGCATACAATTACATATACAAGATAGCTAAATTTTATGCCCCATGACCATTTGCAGTAATTCAGTTAGGATGCAATCAAACCGCTCACCCGAAGGCGAAAATATAGAAAAGGCAAAATCAAGGGTTAAATTCATCAATTCTAATGAGAATACAGTAGTGAAGTAAAGCATTGCATAAATCTACTCTTAAGAAATACAAATTCTTAAGAGTCAATTTCTTTAGTTTTTTTGGGGGGGGGATGTCTTCTTACAACTAAAGAAATCGGTACTTTTCCGTTTTGCCGGCGCAGGCGATAAAGTCGCCAAAAATAGTACAACCAATGCCTAACGGAATATTCTCGCTGGTAACCTTACGCCTCATTTTCAAAACAAGTCGCGGCCATTTCTTATCAGATTGATTGTTTCTTTCAATATTGGCATACAATCACATAGAATTTTTACGCATAATTCAGTTTTATGCCGTAAGGCCATTCGCGGCAGTTAAGCCAATTAGGATGCAATCACACCGCTCACCCGAAGGCGTGTGTATGGTGTGTGTGTATTTAATTATGGCAAAGCACACTAGGGCTATCTGCCTGAGGGGAGGGATGCCTTCGTGGAGGACTTTCTAAGGGAAACTGGCTCGTATACATGTTACATATTGGGAAAACCACGAAAACACCCATGCAGCCAGCCCGTTCGCGGGATTCGAACCTCGGACCGAACTACCAGTGTTCAGCGACTTTACTGCTCGGCCGCTGGTGGGCCTTCACCCGAAGGCGAAAATATAGGAAAGGCAAAATCAAGGGTTAAATTCATCAATTCTAATGAGAATGCACTAGCAAAGTAAAGCACTACGGTTTTACATAATTTCTGAGTAAGCTATTCGTACAAATTGAAATAATTCTTGCGTTTAAACTTGTATTCCGAATTAAGATTAAACTTGGAATTATTGTAGATAATTACTGAGAGAATTAGATTTTTGTAGCATAGTTTACGTGAGATCAGATCACTTGGGGTCACGTTATATGAAAAGGCGAATCAGGATGTTGAACCATAAAAGCATAGCAAATTCTTAAATTAATATCTTTTTACAAATTTATTGGCTTTATACAAAATTTTAAACGATATTAAAATGTTTAAGCCTTCAAAATAAAAAAATGCATAGAACTAACATTCGTTACCATTTTTTTATGTATACACTGTATGTTGTCGCCAATAAAGTCTGCTTGGCGAGCTTTGCGCTGGCGAAACGGAAAAGTACCAAGAAATCGATTATGCATCAGAAACAGCATAATCCATTAGTAATAGCTACAAATTATTATTATTTCCATATAAAGTGAAGCAGTATTTCTCAAGAAAATACATTCAGACAAACCAGCAGCATTTAAATAGTTTGACATCTTTCAGTTTAACACTTTTGGCTTGTGAGTAACTGTATGATTCATTATTAATACCTACATGCTTGTTTAACATTGCTTTTTCCTTTATCTTACATTGCTTTATGTTTCTTAGTCTCTTTTTGCTGCAATTTGACAGTTTTCTTTTTCTTTGATTAGGCTAAAATATTCTTGGCATAACTACTTCGCTTCTGTAGCTTCATTTTCTTTTACTTCATCTCATGCTTTTCTCTTCTTTTGATTTTATTTAGTACGATCAATTGATAAACAATTGACAAAATGACTGCTACTATTTTACCGATATTTCATGTACCAATAGATTGTTCATTCTCAGGCAATGGACCAGAAAATATTTTGAATTAGTGAGCCTAAAATCTACAAGCTACTCTGAATAATGCATCAAATGAACCATTTCCTAGAACTTTTCAGAATATCTAATTGGTTGACTTGAGCAAAAACCAGTTTTAGAAAGTCTTACACAACTAGCCCAGATAGGGAAACTGAAAAAAAAAATGTCAGTAGTGAGTCATTTGATCAACACAGGAAATAAATAACCCACCACATAGAGCAAGACCCTACAGCTAATAAGTCCTTAGAAAGGTGTATTTCATACATACTGTAAAACAAAATAATAACAGGGTTGCTATTCAAACAAAAGAATGGAATTCCCTGACTTTTTGTAGGTTTTCCAGGAGTGCTTTAAGAAAATTCTAGTCTATCTGTGTAGTGCACGTTGGCTATGCTGAGAGATAAAATAATTATGGTACCACTTGAAAAAACAAAAATTTACTAATTACATATGACTTATCCCCAAAGCATTACTATTAATAACTATAATAGGAGTTGCTTTCTCGATGGAAGATTGAGATTAGAATCTCCCTAATCTGGATTAAAAAATGTCTTTTTTTGCAGACTTTTGCAGCTAAACGAAATAGAAAAATCTATTGAATTATATTTTAAAATAAATTCAGCTATTTTATATTTATTTAGCAGCATGCAATAGAAAAAATATGAGCATTAAATTTCCTGATGGTATGTCATCATACTTCTAAAATTAGTTCATCATACTGCTAAAATTAGTTTTAGGAGAATGACGGAGAAAATTGCCTGAAATGTGAAAATAATATTAACTAATAGTAAATAAATTCAGAAGGAAGAAGCCACATTAAATGATACAAATACCATTAAAATAAAGTTGATTACTTAAAGATTAAGAAATTGAATTACGATAATCAGTGATATTTTGGTGAATATAATTATATGAAATGGTTTGGCCTAGCCAACTGATTATTATTTTACTGCAAAATGACAAATAAGGCATTTGGTAAAAAGAAAAAAAAAGGTTTAAAAGATTCTGTGGTAAAATCCCAGTACACACTAAGGCCTTGGCACAATTTTGAAAATTGTCGTCAATAACCAAAATGTTTCGTTTACTGCTCATCATGTCATCAAAGCCCATGTGTACAGTACAAACCGTGTGTACGGACCTCAAAGCCACAAACTTTACACATGTGCATAAAGAATGCGCATACATTATGCTCGCACGTAATGTATGCTTTACGCATGCACGCGTTGAAAGAAATGTTTAATAAAGTAAACAAATAAATATTAAGCTTTTTTTTTTTGGTAAAATTTTATACCCTTTAGATCATAATTGCTCTTTCTTTCATAAATTATGTTTTCACATTTTTAATTGTATGATTTCTTCATGCCATCTTACCAGATTTAAATTGATGATCTATAATACAGAAAAACCCTTAATTCGGAATCGCCGAAGTCCCGACGAATCTGGATTACAGACTTTGTACTGTACTATATACTAGGATTAAACCAATTTTGTTTTATATCAGAATGGAAAAGCATTTTCTTTCCTTTAACATGCACTGCACATGCACATGCAAATCTCTTGATTCTCGAGGTTTTTGGAAACTTGCTTTGCCTTTCTAAAAGACAATCTGATTGGAGCTGTAGAAATTGGTTCTATGCCAGCTGCCCCAATGACATTTATGAAATGCATAATTCAACAAGAAAGTGATCACTTCCAAATGTTGGTGTAAAAATCGCTTTTTTGGGGGATCGCCATATGAAATTCCCCGACTTTTCCAGATTTTTTACTACAATATTTTAAATTACCTGACTTTTTTAGTCAGTTTTCAAATTCCCTGACTTTCCCAGTTTTTCAGGTAGCATGGCAACCCTGTAATAATCTTCCACAAGTAGTTCCTATGCTAGTCCTCTAAAACTATGAAGAAAATAAATTAATAATCCTTCACGCACTGTTTTTAAGGCTATTTGCTATCGATTACAGAAAACTAAACAGTGTAATAAAATATCTGGTTTACCCCTTACCAATAACTGAAGAAATAATAAGAAAAATTTTATCTACAAAACAGATGACCATATGGATGAAACTGGAGGATGTGCCAATAACTGCATTTATTATCAAATCAAGGGTTTACGTGCTCCTTAGAATGCCATTTGGTTTATGTCGTGCTTATGCTACTCCAAAGGGCAATGAACAAAAACATAATCAATGGATATAAGTGTGTAGCCAAAGAACTCTTGTACTTGGTACTAAGAGCAGCGAACAGAGACCAAAAATTCGAAAACTGCACTAATAAAAAAATTATCCACCACCTAAAATGGTGAAAAAATTGGCAAACAAATTTACACAACAGAGCCCTTATTAAATTTTAAAAGGAAAAAGACGAAATTCACTTTGTCCGCAGAATTGAACGTGGCTATCGAAAACCTTAAATCAACATTAGTCTAAGTCATCTTGAGATTTCTTAAAGAGGATGGCAAGTTAGAAATTGTCACTGATGCTTGTGATTTTGAGATAGGAGCTATGCTTATGCAGGATGGACAACTGACAATATATTTTAGAAAAACACTTAATCCATTAATTAAAAATTATATCACTTCTGAGAAAAAAACACTACCAGTCCTACTTCCTGCACTGAAATTTAAAGCTTATTTTAGCAAAGAATGCATTAAATTAATGTCCAAAAGCCCTCATTGAGCCATCGCCTGGCTTTGTATCTACTTTTCTAGACTCTAGGGTACATGAGCGTCTACCCTAGACAAGTGGTCAGCTTGTCGCAGCCCCCCCCCCAATGTTTAGTCTCCAAGCAAACTTGGTAGTTATTTTATTGGCCCACTCAAGGGATAAAAGACTGAGGCAACATTGCCCAGCACGGGGATCGACCCCGGACCTGTGGTGCTACTGCGTGACCCAATAGCCACTGCACTACCCGGCTTCAAAGAAGCTGTTATTACAATATATATGGACCTTGTAGCCATCATGCAGGGATTGGAGAAAAATATGGAACCATATGGGGCTCTAGTATAGAATAGACTATGGTTAGCGACAAATTTTGTTAAACTTTGGCGATGAAACCTCATTTCTGGTTACCATGATAGTTTTAACTTCATGATTTTTTTTTTTAAATGAAAATAGATTGGTGTGTACATGGATAAATTTAAGGCAATGCACAATGCCTAGTTTGTGCAATTCTAGAATTTTTTTTAAGTGAAAACAGGTCGATGTGTACATGGACACAGAGTTTGGGCAATTCTTTGACTTCTTATTTGGTTTTGTGTAGCGGCCATCTTAAAATTGTGCCTTCCTGGTGCCGATCTTGGCGTTTAAAAAGAATCACCAAAAAACAAGGGGCAACCAATTGTAAACTTTGGGTAAAGTAAGACTTTAAGGTACCCCTTGTATTATGGCATGTTGTTTTTTAGTTTAGTTGTTTGATTTATTGTTAAGTTGTTGTTTGATTTATTGCCAAGTTGTTGTTTCATTTATGGTAGCCTGAGTAGTTGAATGTTATGGAAATCCTATTGTGACGTAATCGGGTGCTTGATTCTGGGAAATTTTGAATCACGGGATGTTTTGTAAGCGTTTTTGTGGTGTGTGTTGGTTTGATTCTTTAGACGGTAGAATGGCCAAATGTAGTAAGATTAATTTGAAGTTTCTGTACAATTTGAAAAGGAGAAAAGAGCTTTAATTGACTGGTGTGTAAATGAAGGTTTACTTAGTAGCCATTTATAAGTGTCCTGTATGTAGGAAGGATATGCGTCTAGCCGAACGTAAAAACCGTTTAGATGGATTTGAATGGGTTTGTAGGAAGAAATGTTCAGATGGTGACTATGTGAAGCGTTCGATCAGAAACAGTACCTGGTTTGAAAAAAGTCATTTGAGTATGATTGAAATTTTGATTTTTACGTGACTCTGGGTGTATGAAGCGAACTTGAAAATCATGGTAAGTGAATATTTGCTTTTGGTAGTGCTTAAATGTATAACATGTTTTCCCTTTTTTATGTTATTTTATTGTTTGGTTTAAAATATATTTTATTGAGATTATGTACTTTTTGTTTGCCTATATTGTAGAATTTGGTGCTCCTTTGACTTTTTAAGTGAAAATATATCAATGTGTACATGAACAAAGTTAAGGGAGTGCACAATACAAGTTTGTGCAATTCTGGGATTTTTTTTTTTTTTTTTTAATGTGAAAATAGGTTGAAATGTACATGGATAAAGTTAAAAGAGTGTGCAATGCCATTTTTGTGCAATTCGAGGATTTTTTTTTTTAAGTGAAAATAGGTTCACGTGTACATGGATAAAGTCAAAGGAGTGCGCAATGCCATTTTTGTGCAATTCGAGGATTTTTTTTTAAGTGAAAATAAGTCGATGTGTACATGGATACCGAGTTTGTGCAATTGTTTGTCTTGTTATTTTGGCTTTGTGTAGCGGCGATTTTTGCGCCAAAAATCGCAGCTTCGCAAGCCAAAATAACGTGTCGAAGAATTGCACAAAATCGGTAACCATGTACCGCCAAAAATCGCCAAGTTTTCCCAAGGGGTACCCTAAACTATACTTTTACCTAAACTTTAACCAAATATGGAAACACCTAAATAAAAACTTATCACTATGACTAATACAGTGTAGGAAAACCATTTTTATTCAAAATAGCTTGCCCTCTTTTATGGAATGGATAAATGGAGGTCTTGTATGCTTTGCAGGGAATCCTGTACCATTCTTCTTGTAAAACGTTGGGAAGTTCAGTTTAACGATGATGACAGCGGATAGCGCTCTTGTAGATTTCTCTCCAAAATAGCCCACAGAAGCTCAATAATACTGATATCTGATGAATATGATGCCCATGATAGATGTAAAAGTTCACCCTCATGCTCAGAAAACCAGTCCTGGACGATGTGAGCTGAGGAACAGGAGCTCTATTGTCTTGGAACATGACATTACCAACAGAAAACAAAATTTGTATCATAAGATGGATGTGATCAGCCAAAATGGTCACATAATCCTTGGCAGTAATACTACCTTGCACAGTAATGATAGGTCTCATGGAATACCATGATATGCATTTTTTCCTCTACAGTTTTCCATTTACATTTCCAAACACTTTAACCTTTAGTGAATTGTTATATAATGCAATATATGAGTGTTTAGCATAAATATGTAATTTTTTTTGCATCTCATGAGAAAAGCACATCTTTTCCAGCTGACTGTAAGTGAAATATGATTAATACTTTTCAGAGGAAGAAATGATGAAGAATGTGGAAAAAAGAAATATATCGAAATAAACTACTGCTTCTTTTCCAGTTGACATAACGTTAAAAATTGTCGCCATTTTACAGGGGAAAAAGTAATGATGGACAATATCACACTGTCTAAAGTGAGTGCAAAAATCAAATAAATATTACAAAATAAATTACCGTTTCTTTTCTAACTGATTATAAATTAGAAATGGTGAACATTTAAAGAAAAATCCACCAATTAAGTTTGTCAGTTCTGGCAACTAATCTTTCATTTTTGGCAATTGACCTCAATGGCCTCTTTAACATCCCGTCCTCAATTTTTTTCCCCCCTGCAGTTTTTTTTTTTTTTTCATATTGCATCTCTAAATATTTTGCTTTTAAATAGATAATTTCATTTGGTGGTCTTTTTCAGGGTATGCAGAATTCAGTGCTCTTTTTTCGGGGGGGGGGGGGGGGAAGCAGCAACACTGTTTTTTTTTTAGTTGATGGCAATTTAAATAAGTTTAACACTTTAGAGTAAAAAAAATAATTAAGGATGTGAACGAAACAATATCATTATAGAACTACTACTTATTTTCTAATTTATAAGATGTTAGAAATTATGATCAACAAAGTAGTGAGAAAATAATTAACTAAACAAAGGATATCATGCAGTCTAAAGTAAATGTGAAAAATCATTCATACTGAATGCTCTAATTACATCACATGAACAACTTTGTAATCAAAACAGTCTTAAATAAAAATACACTGCTTGTTAAAAGTTTAGGATTTAATCCTAGTATCCGGTGCACACGGCATTTGGCTACTTAAGGCGACTTTTATGATGAGCAGTAAAAACGGGATGATGAGTAGTAAACGGGTATTCAAAAAATATATATAGTTATACATAGTATATACTATGTGATATATAGTGATAGTATATGCATAGATGTTCTTTGGGTCATTTTTGGTGTTGGCAATAATTTTCAAAATCGCACCAAGGTTGCACCGTATACTATGATTTTACCAAGTTTAGTTATTAGTAATTAAGAGTGCCAATTAGTATTCCAATTTTAGGAAGCAGTCAAGATGGTCACTTAAAACAAAAGTAGTACTAAAAATTGCCTCTCTGAAATTAATTGATATCAGATTCTTCCTTTTTTTTAACAAGTTATTTCACACTATGAAGACATCAAAATTTTTAATCCTTTAAATTACTCCAAACAATAAAAACTTTTTTAATGGTACAGTGCTTTCAAGTAGAAACTCATATCTGGTACATAGGGGCCTATAACTTTACTCTTTCAACAAATTCCAAGGATTTATGACACATATAAATTTACACATAAAGAGATCCTGTAAAATCCTAGTATACGGCCGATTTTTAAAATTGTCAATATTTGTCTCTTTGCTTTGAGAACTCTGAGAATATTAGGCGGTACAAGTATTAACTAGATAATAAAAGTGCTACATCTATTTATAAATTCGCTAATTCTAACCTGAGATCGTAAAGTTAGTTAAATTCACGTAACTGAAATATATCTTATAAATATATACAGAAATATAAAATTCACAGCTATTTTACATTACCTGTATTTCCGTGTTGCTTGAATCCAAGTCACTATCTTGAATCAAATCATATGCTTGACAGCAAGAATCAAAGGTTTTACTTAAGATACTGCCGCTTTTATCATCTACAGTTTTTTCCTCGAGCGGTGTTAAAGACTGTAAAACGAGTGATAACTCCGAAGAAGTCATCACAGTCTGTTAACTGAAGAAAAATATAAAAATACTCGGCTATTGCTAGAACGCCGTATCACAAAACAGCGCCAAAACGATTGTAAATAAACACAACTTTACAGAAATATTTATAATGTTGCCAGTTTTAAAAATGAAATACTAACAAATAATGAATTAATTTTCGTTACCCATTTCTTTATTTTGTCTATTAATTAAATGGTTCATAAAAAAGATAAAAAATGGCATGATGTAATGGTTAGAAAGTCCATTTTTACGCTGATGTTGATTTACTACATCTTAAAATACAGAAAATCTATTATTTTCATCATTTAATGTTTAACCGTAACCTGCAAATATTATTTCAAATATGAGTTTCGGTTCGTGATGCGCTTTTTTTTTGTTGAGAATATTAAATTCTTTTTCGCGTTCTGTTGCATTTCCATACATTTATAAATAAAGGTATCTTCTTCTTTTAAGTATCGTGCAATGAAGGTACGTGTAGTATATTTGTGTACTGATTATTATGAATTGCCCTTTTGTTTGTTTGTTATCATTTATTGCGGTAATGCCGAGACGGGTGCTTTTGTACTCGTATGTAGATGTGGCGTATAAAACATTCTTGTTAAAGTGTAATGTTAATGAAATTGAAAACTCCTCGATGGAAAATTTTTAGATTTTTTATTTATTTATTTTTTTATTATTTTTTCAAGTTGTTCATTTCAGTCACGTGTTACATTCTGGAAATGTGTATTATGTGCCATATTTTTACATGAATATGTACATGATGCATATACTGATATCACGCGTTTTTATGTTAATTTCTCCTAGAATTTCAAAATAGGGTTGTAGTAAATGTAATGTGGGTAAGTGCTATTATGTTTTAAAATTATTTTTAAAATTCATAATAGTTTAGATTTAAAAAAATGTAATGATGAATTAGGAAATAGCTTGATTATACTTTTCAAGAGTTTGAAAGAAAAGGAGTTTATATTGTGTATTATTCGTAAATAATAATTTTTACATCTAGAATTTTATAGTTATTGAGTCTCTTCCATAAGTAATGTGATTTAATCTCACAAGGGGACCGTGTAACTTTGGACTTGTTAGCTTCATTCAAAATCGGCATTGGGGAAAACCTTGAAACTAATATCTTTACCAGCAAGGAGTACACATTATTCGGAGAAAAAGAAAGTCTGAGTTTTTAAATTATGTTTGGTACTTTTCCATTATGTGTCCACAATCTAAACAAATTACCTAGTTGTTGATAAGGTAGTATACATTCCCCATTTTCCAGTCAACAGTAGTAGTGAGAGGCAAAAGATCTCTCTGATAAATTTCAATGGATGCTAGTTCCATCGACCATAAATAAATTAATCTTATGACAACTGTGAAGGAGACATGAGAATTCTCAAATCTTTACTGATGCTGATTTGATTCTTCCAAGCATGGCTTCTCTACCTAACCTGTCTTTCTTCATAAATCAAATGATATTGTGGAAATTGGAGCATTTTTGCTTGTAAAGGATAACACCACATTGTTAAAAATATATTTTTGAATATGCATTGGTGTTTACATAAAAAGAAGCATTGTTACGTTGAGGAACTTTGAAAGCCAGAGCAAAATATGAAAAAAAGATGGCCAGGTTACTTGTGATTTTTTTCGCTTCTTGACTCTCCGTACATAACTGTTTCTTAAGGTAATTTATTTAGATTTTGAGCATATAGTTGGAAAAGTTAGATTTTGGCATGTAAATGAAAAAGTACCAAAAATTTATATTATCCTCCATTTGCTGCAATTATTGGCAGTTTACAGCGATTCAGACAGGATGTTCAGCATTCTAATTAGTTATGAGTTAGTAGTAATGCTGCTTTTTATTGGTCTTATGAATTCTTTTTCATATATTCTTATTGGTTGATCTTTGGATTATGGTAACTTGGCGATTTTTTGGCGAAAATTTGGCGACCAACTCCTACAGCAACAATCTATTTTTTTTCGCCGCCATTTTGTCTTCACGAAGTAAAGACATGTTTCTTTTCTTTTTATTTACTGAACACTTTTTCCAATAATCTACTAGCCGTATTTCACTTATGCTAGAAATTTTATGTAACAAAACTTCTTAATCATGACAAATATTAACTGCAAAATTGGGAAAAAGTGCACAATCGCAAACTCCTTGCGCGCTTTTCAGAATAGGACATAAACCACGTACACGTCAACTTATTTTTACTTAAAAAACATCCCAGAATTGCACAAAAATGGCATTGCACACGCTGTTCACTATATCCATGTACACGGCTTTTTTCTCATAAATTAGAAAAATTTCACGAAAATGCATGACAATTTTGTGAATCTTTAAACCCGGTAAAAAGAACATATATGACATTACATGATCGCGAAAAAGTATATACCTTTTCCAAAGATGAACATTTCCACATATAAAATAAATAAAATATCCAAAAACTTTTACCTCTGAATTATCTATTATATTATAAACGTCACCAATGAATTCATACCGCAAACATTACAAATGGTTACAAATACTTAGTGTCAAATATTTAAATTATTTCCATGCACCTTTACTTCCACTCAAACGTATACCAAATTCCTACAAACATATAATTCACAGAATAACTATCATTTAATTAAAATATAATTAAATTCAAAAACACTACTTAAAATACAAATAAGCACATACATTAAATTAATAAAAATTAGCTTACAATCCTAATTACTTTAAACTAAATCATTGCTAATAACAATTTTCCAATGATACCATATTACTATATTTACTCCTTACATTTAGAACAATGCATAAAAATAATATCCTCAAATAATTAAAAATACTAACTTACCTAATCTTCTTCAGAATCTTAATAACATGGCAGATACACTTTTCTTATTTCCTCCGCTAAATAAAAAGCAATCGTATGTGCGCCCGTTTCAGGATCTTTAAAATCATACTTATAGTTCACAGCAAGATGTTCAAAACCTCCATCCTCCAAACAGACTTAATAAAACTTAATAAGCAATCTTTACTTCTATCTCGCACAACCTTAAAAAAACACTTATTACTACCCCTTTCAATCCCACTAAATACCCATTTTGAATTCGCTTTAGATAGGGCGTGGGATCCAAAAATTAACCAACACTGTTTTGCACAACACAAAATAAAGCTAAATACAAAATTTCCAGATTTCCCCCCTTTTTCCGATTAAAGAACTTTAATTCGTCCATTAATGTAACAGGACATATCTTATGATCTCTCATTTCCCTCACACAAAATAATGTGTAATCAGAACTGAGTACTTCTCACATTATTACCAAAGTCCTAGGTAGTAACCTTTACTGCCTCCAAAATGTCGCCAAACTACCAGTTACCATATATACCGAAGATCAGCCTTCTTATTTAAATGGGGAAAAGCTTTTATGTATTTTTTCTATAATTTACTCTTCCAATTAATTCATAATTTTATAATTATATTTGTTACAGAAATGTTGAAATTATAAAAAGATTGCATGCACTGAAAAATGACTGTTTATCAAAGTTCCCGCACTATCTCTTTAAAATATAAAGAAAGAGCACACATCATTAATATGTAAAAATAAGTAGTATTTCTATATTACTACAGCCTCTGTTGTTTAAATGCCATGTTGGCACCTGGATTATGGCCTATTTCATGCATATTCCTTACATACACGTTGTGGCTACCATGTTTTCAAGATTGTTTTGAATGTTGCATCAGAAGCATTTCCTTGGCTCGTTAGGTTTGGTTATTTGAATATGCTAAAGCAATCTGAATTATCTGCCTAAGAGGAGGGATGCCTTTGTAATGGACTTGCTGGCTTGTATTCATATAACACATGGGGAGAACCACAAAAGAAAATCATATAGCAAAACCTGTTCGCCAGTAACCCAAGCTAGGTCCAGGTTTTTCCCGAGTCAAAATTTGAGATACAAGTTAACATCGGTGGCGTCATAATAGTTGACTTGCATTGTGTGCAAATGTGATTGTAAGGTCAAGCTGCTGCTCGTATACCACTCGGAGAAACCTCAGAACTTTCAAGATGATTTTATGAGAGAAGCTATTGGTTATGTTGAGTGTAAACTCAAAAGCATGGGTCATTAGGAAGTTGTTTATGGAGTGGATTAACTTGGTGTTTGATCCTGCTCCTAAGAAGTACAAGGGTTATTAAAAAACCTAAGGCCTGAACCACCGTACGTAATTGAACATCACGGGAACATTTAAACGCGCACGTGTACCAACTCCCAGCATACCTTGCTCGCCAAACGACACCATTTGCATTGGTATTGTTGCAGTGTCAGTTTGAAATGTTTAAAACAATTGATCAGCCCGCTGACTGAAATATGGTCAGTGGTTTGGTTTTTGAAAGCAAAGAAATATTTCATCAGTGAATATTCATCAACAGACAAGTGATGTGTGTGGCCCCAGTGTGATGAGTGACAGCAAAGTACATAATTGGTTGAGAACTTTCAAAAATGGATGGAAAAATGTCTATGATGAATTGCCGTGAGACCAACCATCAGTAATCGCAGAGGATTAAGTCAATGCCATGGATTAAACGGTTCGTGAAAACTGGCGATTCACAATTTCAACTTTAGCATTAGAATTTCCAAATGTGGGTTGGACAACTTTGCATAAAATTATCTCCAAAAATTTGCAATTTCAAAAATTGTGTTCTCGTTGGGTTCTTAGGCTGCTTATTGAGGAACGCACAATGAATTGGAAGTTGATCTGTCAGCACTATCCTTATCTTCAGGACAGATGTTTTTATTTTATTTGGCTTATAATTCCTTACTAAATGTGGTATTTCATCTCGATGTACTCCGTCTTTGATATGATTTAAATCAAATTCCTCGTCATTATAATTCGCTTCCGAATAATAAGCGAATTCCATTATAATTCACTTCCGAAGAAAGTGACACAGAGGCTATTGAAAATGAAAAAATTTCGATTGACAAATTAGTCGGTATTCTCAACACAGCAATTATACGACTTGAACAGCGGAACTTTGTAACTGAGCAAGAAATTGTGTCTGTTTATAGAATTAAAGAGAAAGTATTAGCACATAAAAAACGAAGCAACTTAAACA